CCCACCCCCAGAGAGCCAGGCCCCGCCCCGTCTGGTCTAAACCCCACCCCCAAGTGGCCTAAGGCCACGCCCCTAATGGTTCAGACCCCGCCCCGAATGGTTCAACTTCCATCCTCAACTCCGCCCCAGCTGGTCCCGGTCCCCTCCCTAAGATGGCCTAGGCCCCTCCTCCCAGTAGCCTAGACCACGCCTCCCATGGTCCACCCAGGGTGGTCCAGGCCCTCCTCTGATGGGTCTAATATCTCCATCACTTTACACACCTGGGTTTCCCCTAGACCCCACCCTCTGCTGGTTTAAAAACTCTTCATGAGATAATCCCGCTCTGACTCTAGGCCCTGATTTTGGCTGATCTAAAAACTCTTCCTCGCCCTAACCGGTTTGGTTCAGTGGATAGAGTGCCGGCCTGTGGACTGAAGGGTCCCAGGTTCGATTCCGGTCAAGGGCATGTGCCTTGGTTGCAGGCACATCCCCAGTGGGAGGTGTGCAGGAGGCAGCTGATCCATGTTTCTCTATCATCCATGTTTCTAACTCTCTATTCCTCTCTGTAAAAAATCAATAAAATATATTTTTTTAAATAAATAAATAAAAATAAAAGTTCTTCCTTTCAGGATTACCATCCCAGTCTGGGCATCTCTCTCTTCTAGGCCCGCCCCTTGCTGGTCTAAAAGTCCTCCTTCTTAGTCCTGACCGGTTTGGCTCAGCGGATAGAGCGTCAGCCTGCGGACTCAAGGGTCCCAGGTTCGATTCCCGTCAAGGGCATGTACCTTGGTTGCGGGCACATCCCCAGTAGGGGGCGTGCAAGAGGCAGCTGATCGATGTTTCTCTCTCATCGATGTTTCTAACTCTGTCCCTCTCCCCTCCTCTCTGTAAAAAATCAATAAAATATATGTTTAAAAAAAAAAGTCCTCCTTCTTAGAGCAGGTCCTTTTTCTACTCCAGCCTCCAGATTGCCCGACACCGCGCCTCGTGGGTCTAGGCTGGGCTCCTCCCCAGTCCCAGGTCAAGCAAGCCCCGCCCCCGGCCATCTCTATCCATCCCAGAAGCACCTGCTGTTCTTTATGCTAAATCCTCCCCATTCTCTGGGTCCCACTAGTTCAAAAAAGCTTTCCAGCACCTCGCAGCACTACTCATTTCGGGTAGAAAGGGAGTCTTGCCCTAGCCGGTTTGGCTCAGTGGGTAGAGCGTCGGCCTGCGGGCTGAAGGGTCCCGGGTTCAATTCCGGTCAAGGGCACGTGCCCGGGTTGCGGGCTCCATCCCCAGTATGGGCCGTGCAGGAGGCAGCCGATCCATGATTCTCTCTCATCATTGATGTTTCTCTATCTCTCTCTCCCTCTCCCTTCCTCTCTGAAATCAATAAAAATATTTTTTAAAAAACCATACTAAGGGAGCCCTGGCTGGTTTCCTCAGTGGTTAGAGCATCGACTTGTGAACCAGGAGGTTACAGGTTGGATTCCTGGTCAGGGCACGTGCCTGGGTTACGGGCTTGGTCCCCAGTAGGGGGACATGCAGGAGGCAGCCGATCCATGATTCTCTCTCATCATTGATGTTTCTCTCTCTCTCCCCCTCTCCCTTCCTCTCTGAAATCAATTAAAATATAATCATTTAAAAAATTAAAAAATAAACAAAGGAGGTCTTACTCCTTAATGCGATGCCTCACTCCGAGCTGCCTGGAGGGTTTCCCAGGACCAGCCCCTTTCTGGGTCCGCCCGGGTCTACAAGGCTCTATCTATCCCTTACAGCAGGCTCCTCCCCATCTACAGCCAAATCACTTTCTCCCTCTGCGTCTTGACCTGCCACCGCCCAGCCCTGCCCCCCTATCTTCAAGACCCCAGTGATGTCTCGCGGCCCCCGCGCCTCCCTTCCGTGACCTGAACCCCCAGGCTTCGGGAACCTAAGCTCCCCGCACCCCTATTACGCGCCAGACACCACGAAGGCAACACCCACCTTGGCGACACCCAGCGGGTGGCGATGGAGTTTGGAGAGAGCCTAGACAGAGGCAGGCTCCGGGCCCCAGGGGGCGCTCGAGGGCAGGGTGCACACACACACACACACACACACACACACGCACACACACACGGCGACGTGGGTGGGCCGCCCCCTCTCCCTGCCTCTCACCTGCTGCCACGAACAGGATTCCTGCCCCCAGAACGATGTTCCTCTTGGACCTGTAGACGCGGGAGGCCGCCACGCACACGCCCCCCAGCAGCAGCAGGATGGCGCTGAGGATGGGGAAGATGCTGGAGGCCCGCACCACCCCTGCGAGGGAGAAAGGGGAGGAGGGGGAGAGGGAGGGAGGGAGGGAGTGAGGGAGAGAGAGAGAGAGAGAGAGAGAGAGAGAGAAACATCAATGAGAGAGAATTATTGATTGGCTGCCTCCTGTACGCCCTCCACTGGGAATCGAGCCCGCTACCCGGGCATGTGCCCTTGACTGGAATTGAACCCGGGACCCTTCAGTCTGCAGGCCGACGCTCTATCCACTGAGCCACACCAGCCAGGGCAGGAGGAGAGTCTGCTTCTGTCTGGCTTCACTCATAGCTCTGGGGTTCTCTTCTCTCCCTCTCCCTCTCCCTCTCCCTCTCTGAAGTCTCTCTCCCCCTCTCTCTGCACCCCTTTCCACCCACCCCAAACCCTAGGCAAACAGATTTTATGATTTCTGAGCGCTAAGCCACAGCCAATCACAATTCAGGATTTGCCGCGTTCTCGGGAACAGTAGCCAATCCCAGCCCAGAGAGCCACAACGCGGCGGCCAATCACCTCCCAGGATCTCTTCTCAGCCCGCCCCATGGTC